GAGCAGGGAGAGCAGCGATCCCCCCCCCCTCCCCTCCCCTCCCCAGAGTAAACAGAGCAGAACCAACATAAATGTATTGCAGATATCGTTAAAGGTAAATCATTTTATGTACACATTTCAGAATTAGTCTGATTTAAAGGATAATCAGAAGGCTGAATCCCGACTGACAGAGGAGGAGCTGGGGATGGAGGAGGGTAATTAGCTATTGAGCAATGCGAAAACTGCTGATAATACTGAGGGACCTTATATATGAATGCTTAGTTAGGTGTCGTATTCCTATAGGAAGATTGGGTTCAGCTTCGAGTCCACTGATGCGAGCTTGACTAACGTGACCTGCCAGAACTAACGCTATGCTTGATTTCAGGTCTTACCCAGTGTGAGCTGAGACACAGACACTGTGACCCGCGTGTCAGGCTTCAGATCAAACTGGATCAGGTTCTGATTTAAAGCGTTCATGAAGACCTCCGACATCTGAAACAAGAGAACGATGATGGTGACAGTAATGATGAGGAATAAGAGAGTTAAAATAGTGACGAGCTAAGTGGAAAAGCCTTGTTTTAATCTATCATATTATTTTATAAAATATTTAATATGCAGTGTTACAACATTAAAGCAGTACATGTGTGTGAATAATGATTTCACTTACTAAAATCAATAAATAAATCAACAAAAAAGTTATAATTTCAACATGTATTCAATTCATACAGTATACTACCATTCAGTTTGGGGTTGGTAAGTTTGGGGTTCGTAATATTATCACAATTTAAAATGTAATTTATTCATGTGATGCAAATATAAGAGAGTTAAAATAGTGACGAGCTAAGTGGAAAAGCCTTGTTTTAATCTATCATATTATTTTATAAAATATTTAATATGCAGTGTTACAACATTAAAGCAGTACATGTGTGTGAATAATGATTTCACTTACTAAAATCAATAAATAAATCAACAAAAAAGTTATAATTTCAACATGTGGACATACAGTATACTACCATTCAGTTTGGGGTTGGTAAGTTTGGGGTTCGTAATATTATCACAATTTAAAATGTAATTTATTCATGTGATGCAAATCCGAATTTTCAGCAGCCATTACTCCAGTCTTCAGTGTCACATGATCCTTCAGCAATCTTTTTGATTTGGTGCTCAAAAAAACATTTTTTTATTTTTATTTTTATTAATGTAGAAAACAGTAGCGTAATATTTTTGTGAAAATTTTTTTTTTTCAAGATTCTTTGATGAATTGAACGTTCAAAAGAACAGCATTTATTTTAAACAAAAATCTTTTGTAACTTTATAAATGTTGTTACTGTCCTTTAAGCTATTGAATGTATCCTTGCTTAATAAATTTTGTAAACAACTTAAAAAAAAACAAATCATACTGATCCCAAACATTTGAACGGTAGTCTATTTGTGTTATTAAAAAATATTTATAAAGGCTGCAAAAAGCTTTAGTTTCATAAAGATTGTGAATATGAATCTTTTGTATGCCATGTAAATTGATCATACTACATTTTTCATTTCGGAAAGCTGTAGGTCATAACCCTACATAAACTGAGAATGCAATAAAAAAATACTGCTGGTTTTAGCACAAATTTGAATTATTGTCAAGTAAAATTTTAACTGGAGTTTTTATTTCTCTTTGTGGTTGCTGGGCATTACAATTCAGCCAATGACATTTTTAAAGTAAGTGCTTGTAGCTTTCAGCAGTGATAAAGCCACTTTTTTATTGCCACTATAATTTATTTAGCCATCAGAGAATCATAATAGGTTATTTTAACAGATTGTATTAATCATCAGACCTTGTCATTTGGGGGATCATAGCAAAGCATCAGTTTTCAATATGTGTGTGTGTGTGTGTGTGTGTGTGTGGTTCTTGCCTTATCAAGCTGTTCCTCTGTGTGTGATCTGAATGCTGACTGGTTTGTCTCGGGTAGGATAAAGAGCTCAGCGGCAGTTGGAGATCCAGGAAACACAGAGACCAACAGCTGGTCCTCAGGGAAGCCACAAACCTGGAGAAAAACACACAGATAAACACACATTGGTTGCACTTTATTTTACAGTACGTGCACTTACATGTACTTACAGTGTACCTACATAAGAAAGTACTGGTAATATAAGGTAACTACATGGGGTAGGGTTAGGTTTAGGGGTAGGTTCAGGGTTAGTACCTAGTTATTGTAATTACTATAATAAACACATAGTATGTACATGAGTAACAGGACTGTAAAATAAAGTGCTACCCACACATTTCTCATATGCTAGTAAACATTAAACAAATTTTATCAGCATGCAACATTCATGACAGGATCTAATTCATGCGTAAAAGCTAGTAAATCATTTCATGTTATCATGTTCATGTTTGCACATTAATAATATCTCAGTTAATGTTTGCAAATCATAAGTAATTTCAGTGAATCTCAAGATAGTTGTAATATTTATGATATGATGTTGTGTAACTGTATTGAAAGCACTCTGTTCAAGTATTGGGAGACCATTATATTTGTGCTTAAGCGACTCATTGTAATGGAGTTCTGCGGAGCAGTTCTTTGGCTCTGTTCTTTAATTGGCTGACTTGCTTTAGAGTCTCTCTGTTGCCGCATCAATATTCACTCCGAACTCCTGTGATTCACTCTAGCCAGTAGCACTACATTACCCTATCTCTCGCTCTCAGACTGAGGGGAAATCAGATGGATGCGTGAGAGCATGTAAAGCCTCTCAGCCAAAAACGAATCTCGCTGGAGAGCCCAGAAAGAGCCATCAGGCTTTAAACCAGCAGCGTTTGAGAGAGAGGAAAGAGAATAGCTGAAGAGAGAGGAAACGTGGTGAGCTATCAGCAGCCTTTCAAGAAATTTCTTGAGTTCTTTTCAGCAGTTCACTGACATGAACAGAGCACTCCAACAGGAACTGATGATGGACTTTACAATCAGTATACCTGAGAGAGTGTTGCCCTGACAACGCGCCCCACGTCCTGTCTCCATTCGGCAATGGATGGGTTGTGCTCTTCCAGGTTAAGAGAGAACGACAGCAGTAAAGAACGGAAGAAATCTGGGAATGAGAGAATATGGATGGATGGGAACAGAGATGAAACTCTGCCAAAAATTCCTCTTAATTCTGAATATGTCTCGGTGAAACTAAAAATACCACATTATGTATCTCAAAGAACACTGCAATGCTTATAACAACAGGAGGTCTTCACCTTTGACAGTGATGATTTTCACATCCTGTAGGACTGTGCCTCCTGCTGACACCTGTACTGTGACAGAGTTCGGTCCCTCTTGTGTGAATGTGTGTGAAATACTCCCTTCCAGTGTTATCAGCGGCTAAAAACACACACATATGAGACGTTCGGTCAGGATTAACTGCACTGGGAAACAGGAAAGCAAATCACAGCTCTGACTGATGTGTGAGTGGCAGAATCATTTATAGCAGAAACCAGTTACAGCCCTATATAACCAAACTCCCGCTGTGTTTCACGGTTCAGTTGTCATGTTTTTGATCTCAGGGCTTTCCGTAGATATATTGGTCTTAAGGATCTTCATGCTATTTCCTTGTATTTCTTAACAAGCCGCTCCATTCCTGAGATTTACGGGTAATTTATGGAGAGCTTGTTGGTCTTTTGTATTGTTCTAGCACAAGATGGGCATGTTAGGCAGCAGCACTAAAATAGACTGGCATTTGTAAGTGACATTTCAACATTAATATTCATTCAAAACAATCCAGTTAAATTTTAATGCTGCCTTGTTTTTCATGGAAATTAAAGTAGTGAATACAAAAACATTGTACTTTCAGTGTATAATGGGTTAAGTTAATGCATTTACTTCACTTAAATGATTTACAAGCATATTTTTTAATATTGCTAACACACTAGAGGGTCTGTTTTTTTGCCTGGTTGTGCTCTTTGTTGTATATTATTACTTTATTAAACATTAAAAGCAACCACAAACAATACAGCTGGCTTATAAAGCCTTATAAAGGTTCATAAAACTAGTTTATCAAATAAGCCAGGTTTATTTCAGTTAGTGTGACTTATTTTGAACCAAATCAACTGACAAGAAGTTAGACTAACTGAAATAAACAAATATATATATATTTATATTTAAGAGGAAGGTACACAGGGTGAAATGAACAACTAATATTATTTAAAATTATTTTCTGGAGAGAATCTAAACAGGACGTTCAATTCTAAAACGGTAGGTTTCAGTGTATAATGGGTTAAGTTAATGCATTTACTTCACTTAAATGATTTACAAGCATATTTTTTAATATTGCTAACACACTAGAGGGTCTGTTTTTTTGCCTGGTTGTGCTCTTTGTTGTATATTATCACTTTATTAAACATTAAAAGCAACCACAAACAATACAGCTGGCTTATAAAGCCTTATAAAGGTTCATAAAACTAGTTTATCAAATAAGCCAGGTTTATTTCAGTTAGTGTGACTTATTTTGAACCAAATCAACTGACAAGAAGTTAGACTAACTGAAATAAACAAATATATATATATTTGTTTATTTCAGTTAGTGTGACTTATTTTGAACCAAATCAACTGACAAGAAGTCAGACTAACTGAAATAAACAAATATATATATATTTATATTTAAGAGGAAGGTACACAGGGTGAAATGAACAACTAATATTATTTAAAATTATTTTCTGGAGAGAATCTAAACAGGACGTTCAATTCTAAAACGGTAGGTTTCCAGCAGGAAAATGCTCTAGAATTTAGATACATAATCCTTAAAAGCTGCTCTGCACTTTTTATGTGTTTCACCTCCGAAATGTTAAACAGACCTGAACTGAATGATCTCATAGTGTAATTAAGAACATAATGAAAGTGACGTGACATGTGGTCAAGTATGGTTACCCATACTCGAAATTAGTCCTAAGTGCACACACACACAGCAGTGAACACATACACACACCCGGAGCAGTGGGCACCCATTTATGCTGTGGCGCCCGGGGAGTAGTTGGGGGTTCGGTGCCTTGCTCAAGGGCACCTCAGTCGTGGTATTGAAGGTGGAAGAGAGCGCTGTACATTCACTTCCCCCACCTACAATCCCTGCCGGTACGAGACTCAAACTCGCAACCTTTGGGTTACGAGTCCAACTCTCTAACCATTAGGCCACGACTTCTTGGCCTAGTATAATAATGCAGTAATGCAGTAATGTTTGAAAGCATCATAAAATAGTGATTCATATGCCTATAATAACTGTATAGTTTAAATCCATCCTAATCCTTCAAGAAACCAGTATAATGATGTCAAAATTAAGTCTGTGATCTCTGGAGATGATTGAGATGAAACAAAGGTAAAAACAAAATATGTCAGCAATATTAACAATATAGACTACTGTTCAAAAGTGTGGGGTTATTTGATCAAAAATACAGTAAAAACAATAATATTGTGAAATATTATTACAATTTAAAAGACCTGTTTTCTATATATTTTAAACATTTATTCCTGTGATGCAAAGCTGAATTTTCAGCAGCCATTATTCCAGTCTTCAGTGTCATATGATCCAACAAAAATTCTCTCAAATATGCCATCACAGACTGTAAAAAAAAAGATGGATGATGTACCTCCACTTCCTTCCACTATAGAAAAGTGAAGCCAAAACTTCTCAGTATGGCTGCTGTCATCTTGCGAAAATTATGTAATTTGGAGCCCGAGTCTGCACAGTAGTGATTAATTTGGAGCCCGAGTCTGCGCAGTAGTGATTAATTTGGAGCCCGAGTCTGCGCAGTAGTGATTCATTTGGAGCCCGAGTCTGCGCAGTAGTGATTAATTTGGAGCCAGAATCTGCACAGTAGTGATTCATTTGGAGCCTGAGTCTGCGCAGTAGTGATCGTGAGGTGGAGCCATGGTAAAAGTCCTGCCAAAATTCTCGCAGACCCAATAGCAAGATCACAATTATGACACCACACCCCGTTTTTATAGCATCAAATAACGAATTAAAAGCAAACTTATTAGAAAGATGGAAACCGTCTTTGGAAAAATTTAATTTGAAGTGTAATTTAATTATTTAGTTTGTCCGTTAGAGTACATGGAGAGGGCGGGGTTAATGATCTATACTGGGTCCAGCTACCTGCGGGCGATTGAAACGTTTTGGCTTCACTTTTCAGCACTTGTAAGGCACACTTGATGCCGATTTGCTACTTTGATGAACAAGTTCGAAATAATATAAATTATTTGAAATAGAAATCTTTTGTATGATTATTTACATATGATCTGTCCTTGCAGACTAAAATATTAACTGCTTAAAGGTGGGGTATGTATTTTTTCAAAATCACTTTAGAAAACTGAGTCGGGCCGAGTACCAAAACAAACTTGTAGCCAATCAGCAGTAGGGGGGTGTCTACTCATGATGGGGACGAGAGAGCACTCGGTGAACATGGCGGACATTAGCCGAGCGACAGAAAGATAGAAATGGTGGATAAAAAAACAAAGATGAAAATATCTGCGGAACAAAAGAAGGCTTACGATAAGGCAAGAAGTAGGACCCGTGTAAATATTGGATCAGCTTTCCAGCACTGGAGAGAACTCAAGGAGCGGAAGGCCTGCATCGGACGCCGAGGTTGCTTTGTTTCTTATCGATAGGTGAGTAAACTGTGTCTGTCTACACTGGACAGACACATAAAGCGACCATTGAAAATCATTTGAAATTTGTGTCAATACATCATAAATAGAACGCAGCAGCAGTTTTCTGTTGGGTATTTGTCGTGTTGCACCGCGCCGCATCCAGTGTAGACAGCATCACTGATTATAATGAGTTCTATAGTATTTTGTCGCGACGCTCGCGTCCGGTGTAGACAAGGTGTAATATTGGTTTTGTTTTGTTTCACAAAACTAATCGTTGCCTGGATTGCATACGTATGTGTGGGGCGGAGCTATCAAAATAGGGGCGAGACCCTTTTGGGGTAGGGGCGTGTTTGTTTTGGTGATTTGAAATATCAACATTGGCTACCAGAAATCACTTATCCCACCTTTAAAAAAAAAACAATCATAGTGACCTCAAAATTTTGAACAATAGAGTAAATGCCCAACAAAAAATCTACCTTGTGACAAGCTATCTATAATTAAAATTCTGTCTGGGCTTTTTTAACTTTTAACAATTTCTAAGCTGACATCATTCATCAAAAACAATTTTGACAGAGTTGGAATTCAGTTATTCTTTTTCTTTTGGTAGCCGGTGTTTATGCAAAGGGGAGAAACACACAGTGTCACAGTACTATCCCGCCAAAACGTGGCTTTGCTTTTTACTTATTTGACCCCAATCCAAATCCAATAACAGGTTTACCTATTTGACCCTGGTAACAACAATATCTTTGGCAAAGCCCTTGTTTTGTTAGAGGTCAAAAGTAATACCGGAATAGCTGCCTAACCAATCTGGACCTCTGGGCCACATGCGCACACACACGCGCACACACACACACACACACACACACACACACACACACACACAAACACACACAAACACAAACACACACATATATATATTCTCAGCGTTTGAACCTCTGTGCTGTTACTGAACCACCAGTAGAAAGTAGCGGTCCTGGGCTGACTGGGCCACAGCACTGCTGTCAAGTTGGCCTCGTTTCCTCTGATGACGACCACCGGTGCTGAAAGAAAGATACGCTCCACGGGACCTAACATGACACATCGGACGTGATATCTCATCAGACACAATATGAAGTCAATAACGATCACATTTAGCACTGAACACAACAGCAATTTCTTCTTCTACACATCCTTGATTGAGAACTGGTTCTGAAATAAATTGTCTAGATGTGCAGTCAGTGGCATAGAGGTAATTTAGTTTGACAGGAAATAGTTTTTTATAGTGACGGCAGTCAGGCCCGGATTAAGAACACATAGGGCCCTGGGGTTATAGCAAACCCAATGGCCCCCCTTCATAGTAGCGTATCTTGGTGCCACAACGTTTTCTACCACAGGAATAATAATAATTATTATTTTTTATCAAATCTCCAACACACAGAGATACAATGAGTATGCACACTAAATATTCCAGGCTACAATACATTAAAATTATAAATACATTAACATTAGATATGAAGTCAAAGCAAATAGGTTTCAAGAAGCAGCAACAACTTTTGAGCATATACAACTCCCTTAAGGAGTTTATTTTAAATAGTTTTATTAAGGTCTTCTTTCTGGCACTAGAAGAGTAGAGTCATCAGGGCTGGACTGGTGCTAAAATTCAGCCCATCTGGCACACACAGTCCCATAAATGTCTTGCTGGGGTTAGGGCAATTGGAATAAATAAATTATTTATTAATAAATAACGGATGAAAACAAATGATATTTTTGAATACTTAAAATGCACTTAACACTGTTAATATTCCATTATAATGCAGGCTCTTAATTATTGAATTCATATTTTTCTGCAATTAAAGTTTATTAGAACTATTAAATTCTCCTTTGTAGTTGCCCTAATGAAAAGTTAATTCTTGAATCCAGAGTTAACCGTATAGTATTAGTAAACCTTTATAAAAGTGACTTATTGCCTTTATTTGACCCAATATTTAATAGGCTATAATTAGCTTATAATAATTGTTGTGACATTCATATTACATGATTTGACTGATTTTTACTTAGAAAGGGCGAAAGCGCACTGCATTAAAATAAATGATCATTCATGTTTTCATAACCACTGGCCAAATTCAAAAACAAAACTAAAATTAAATTAAATAATCTTTGAGAGCAAGGGGGCCCCCTGGTGTTTTGGGGGCCCTACGCAGCTTGCGTATTTTGCGTATAGGGAGAATCGGCTCTGTCCACATCCAATCACGTCGAGCCCCCTCAATTCGTGGGTCCTGGGGCTTCAGCCCCGCCTAGCCCTTATGTTAATCCGGCCCTGGCGGCAGTGACTTCTTATAGAGAATTAAAATTCTTAGAAATATATGTGCGTGCTCATGTACATACTAGTGATGTGCAGACAGAGCAAGCTGCTGTCTGACCCCTGACTGTTCTGAGCACGTGCAGTGACCCTGAATATCCCAGCGACCCTGTACATGTGTGTGATGCTGTCACCAAGGCGACTTATATTGGAGTATGACACCAAGATGCCATCACCAAAGTCCACATGGAGACTTGTAGACAGTGAGTCACCCTAAAGAAAAAAGGCAAAAAAGACAGATATATTCTATTTTTTGCATGTAAAGGCTTTGAGATAGAGAGAAAAACTGGTTCTCAAACTATGGTATACAGATGGCTGGTGGTCTGATTAAAAAATAATAGATACATAAAATGGTAACAATTTTAACAATGAATTGAAATGATTTACTGTTAACATCAATTTTATAATGAATGAATACTCACAGTTATGTGTCAGTGTACATTACCTTTCAAAAATTTGGGGTCGGAAAGATTTTGTTTTTGAAAAGTCTCTTATATCAGCTAAGGCTGCATTTGTTTGATCAATATATATATATATATATAT